CGGTGTTGGGCTGGGGACAGCGCGGGGTCGGCTGGTGACATTCCCGGGGAGTCGCGTTCCGCCCGGCGCTGCCGCGAGGGGCACGCGAGAGGAATAAAATAGGAAGAAAATAGCATTTTAAATGATATTTTTTAGGTTTACTTAATCTGGGGGAGTCGGGGTTAGGGGACCGCATCTACTTGTCGTGCTGAGGAGTGCCCATCTGGATTGGAAGCTTGGAGAGAACGTGTTTTATGTTCTTTCAGGATTTGGTCACGGCGTGGAGTTGGAGTCATAGGATTTTAGGGGTTGGGATGGAGCTTAGGGATCATCCAGTCCCAACCCTCTGCCCTGGGCAGGGACACCTCCCACCAGAACAGGTTGCTCCAGGCTTTAGGCAGCCTGGCTTTTGAGTTCAGCCCTCTGCAGTCCCTGCAAACTGGACCTGTGCCTTGGCAGTGGTTTCCCCTCGGTGTTGGGTTTTCCTGGTGGATTTGTGTGTTCCTGCTGGAGTAGCGTGGGGAGAGGGTGGGAATGGAGCTGAGGGCTCAGAGCAGTGATGAATCCTGCAAGGAAAGGTTGTTTGAGTGTGTTTGTGGCTACAAATCCTCTTAGATGTGTTTGTGTTGGTAGAGCTGATGCGGAGAGAGACCCTTTAGGAGTGAGAAAACCCATTGAGGAGTAAGCAAACTCATTTAAGAGTAAGAAAAGAACCTTTCAGATTAAGAAAGCTCATTTAAGAGTGATAAAATTCTTTCCAGAGTAAGAAAACTCAGCTCTAAGAGTAAGGAAAGACCATTTAAGGGTAACAGAATTGGTTCTAGCACAGAAGTAAGTGCTGAGAGGGTTTGGGAAATGAAATAAACCCAAAATATCAGGGCAGGGAGTTCTCCTCTTTGCCCCCCCAATTCACTGATTGTTTTGGCTGCTTTTCATGTCCAGGTGTCTGGAGGGGATGGTAGGTCTGAGGCTGCTGAAGCCTCTCAGGCTTTGTGGAGGGTTTCATGTGGGGTTTGGGCTGAGCTTGGTGGCACAGGAGGAGAATCTGTAGAGAGGGAGATTCTCCAGGGAAATGATCTGGTCATTCTCTCAGCAGCTGCTGCTCCACTTGTCTTGGCATTCATCCTCAGACCTGCTTGTCTTGGGTCGTGGAGGGACTGTGAATCAGAGAATCATGGAATCCTGGAATAGTTTGGGTTGGAAGGACCTTAAAGCTCATCTAGATCCACCCCCAGCCATGGGACACCTTCCACCAGCCCAGGTTGCTCCAAGCCCCATCCAACCTGGCCTGGAACACTCCCAGGGATGGAGCAGCCACAGCTTCTCTAGGCGACCTGTGCTAGTGCCTCAGCACTTTCACAGGGAGGAAATCCTTCCCAATATCCCATCTAACCTCTCTGTCACTGTGAATCCATTCCCCCTTGCCCTGTCACTCCATTGCTTGCCCCAAGTCCCTCTCAGCTCTCTTGGAGCCCCTTTAGGCACTGGAAGGGGCACTAAAGTCTCCCTGGAACTTCTCCAGACGGAACAATCCTAATTCTCTCAGCCTTTCCTCGTAGATGAGATGCTCCTGCCCTTGGAGCATCTGGTCCAAGGACCTGCTGCCTGGGATGAGCCCAGGACAAGACAGACATTGAGGGGCTGGACATGTCCAGAGAAAGGAATGTGTGTTGGACATTCAGGTTGGACATCAGGAAGAATGGAAGGGGCTGTGCAGCAAGGTGGTGGAGTCACCATCCCTGGAGGTGTTCAAGGCACAACTGGACACAGCACTCAGTGCTCTGGGCTAGGTGACAAGGTTGTGATGGTCACAGGTTAGACTCGATGGTCTTGGAGGGCTTTTCCAACCTCAGTGCCTCTGGGATTGTGTGGAATACAACTCCAGAGGTGGTGTCAGCACAGGCCCTGGCAGGGGACAAGGCAGGATAGACTTGTTACGGTAATTTCTACTCTCAGAGGTGCTTAATTGCTCAGGGAAGTTGGGAATGTTCCATTTGACCTGGAAACTAACCCTGGCATAGCCTTGGCTCAGGCTGGTGGGATCTGCCAGTCTGCTTGTTAGGGATGTGGGTGAGATCACTCTTGGAACTGCTGTAGGGAATTGTGTGGGATCCAAGGAGAAAAGCAGCTTTCCAGCAATCCATTCCTTGGAAAACTCACTTTCAACTGAGATGACATGGCAGAAGAGAATCCCAGAGAGGGTCAGGTTGGAAGTGCCAGAGTAGGTGTATGGTCCCACCTCCCTGCAATCCCACTGAATGATTGGAGTTAGGCTTAGTTGTTATTTAGCAACAAACTTACAGTTGTTTTCTTTTCAAGTTTGATATTTTTGCAGTTGTGGTGGTGTTTGGATTAACGAAAGTTGCCCAATGTAAGGAAAGGTTTAAAACTCACAAAACCAGACATAAAGGACTTACTCCGTGGGATTTCACCCCAACAAAGGTGCAGGAGTGAGTTAAAAGTGTTCAGTTACACACCACACGTGCCGTTTAGTCTTGTGGTTAAGGCTGTAAGGATTTCATACAATCCTGGAGTGGTTTTGGTTGGAAGGACCTTACAGATCATCCAGTTCCATCCCTCTGCCATGGGCAGGGACAGTTTTCACCAGCCCAGATTGCTCCAAGCCCAATCCAATCTGGCCTGGAACACTCCCAGAGATGGAGCAGCCACAGCTTCCCTGGACAGACTTACCTCTGTATTTCTAACTTAGTTTTTACTGTAAGAACTCAAATGTCTTTGTTGTGTTTTGTCTCAACCTTCCTGGGCTGGGGAAGGTAACTCCAGCTCTTCTCTGAATATTCCTGTTCCTCCAGCAGTTCCTGTGCTGGGAATGCGTGCTGGTAGGTGACTCCTGGGGAAGGATGTGATATCCTAAACACCTGCAGTGCTGGAGCTCAGTGGGAGCTTGAGTCTCCTATTCCTGCCAGGCTCCAGGTTTCCCTGGGATCCCACAAGGATGAGAAGGAGAGTGCAGGGCTCCTGTAAGGCAGTGGCTGTGGAAGTTGTGTTGGGTGAGGATAT